CTTCGCTTCCGCGAGACTCACTTCGAATCTCTATGGAACACGGGGATCGCGAGCCATTACGCAGACATAATTCATTGTAGTTTCACTCGATCAGGGACCCAATAAGCCACCGAGCTGTCCCTGTTGCAGGGACAGCTCGCGATCACGCCTTTAAAAAATATCATACCTGCCAAGTTCAAGGATTCTGAATACGGGAGATTTCCGCAACAGGGGGATATTATTTGTCCCTATTTTTTTTTGTTTCAGCACAAAAAAACAAGAACAAACAAACAAAAAACATCACGATAAACAAAAGGGGGTGAGGTGGGGGGGTCTCAATCACAAGTGCAAACATTAGTGTTGCGGTCTTATAGTGGCTTGGAGTGACCGAACACATGAGAGTAGGGTTTCCCACTAAGGTAAGAGTCTCTAAGGATTAACACAACTATAAGAATCTATTTCCGTCAGAAAAACTCGCGTATGTCTTCCTGGGACACACATGAACGGACAGGATGGCACAGCTGGTGGCCACAAAAGTGCGAGTCAAAGCTTTGCTCACTTCTAGATTTTTTTGACAGGAATGCCGAAACGCATCTGGCCTTTTTTTAATGTATTTAGTGCCTTTAATTTATTTCTGCGTTAGCCGTGAGCCCTTGGAGCTCGTAGATTGCTATCGCGTCACCGCGATCTCGATTTTGTGCACAGCAGTTGCAGCAAACAGTAGTTCCGTTTTCAATCCCGGTGCGCTTGGCTGCGTACGCCCCTTAAAAACTGAGTCGTTTTATGCCATCTATGACCGTATCTGCTGCAGTTTTGTCCGCACAGTTTGCAGAAAGCAGCCTTGCTTTGACTGGTTGGCATTGGATGCGCACACACTTTCAGGGTTCTGTCAGTGATTGTGTCATGATTGATTGATACATGATTGTGTCAAGAACGACCGCGGTTTAGTCCACAGCAGTTGTGGCAAAGACAATCACATGCACTGTAAAAGACAGTGCGTGCCCCGGTCACACGCGTACTTTCGAAGCTTTCAGTACCTGGCTCTCGGCCTTCGTTTGATGGTTTTCATACTAAAGTTTGTATCACCCGCAGCGATTACTTAATGTATTCGGAACATTCGAATTTAGGCCCAATGGGCATAGTGAAATTTTACTGGGGAATTTCACGAATTGGTATCTGCCACGGTTTCACATCACTGAGATTCTATTGCACATTTAAATGAACGCCTCTTTAATTCATTTATAATAAAATGGGGTAGGTTTGAAAAGCCTGGAGCGGATTGAGCAGCATTTTTATGAATGTGGCCAGATCATGCGCAGAAATTTCGATTACAAACGGAAGATACGGTCGAAATCCGGGAGTCTCCTGGACTATTCGAGAGACTTGGCAGGTATGGAATATTTATCAAGGCCAGTCTTAATCGCCAAAGAAAGAGACCCTGTAACACGGGCGCTTTATTTCGATTCCGGCTTGGGTAATACTTTTCAGTCAAAATCCAGAATCATCTATGCATCGATGCGACAATCACTCATACGATGATCAAGACAACATTTCATTGCTACGGTAACATTCGAGCGCTGCCGAATGCCACCACATAAAGCAATATCGTAGTCCAAGCTGTCCGCGTAGCAGCGCGGTAGCATACTGCCTCATCGCATGCTTCTTGCCTGCTGCAAAGGGCAATACTGATTGCATCAACAATGGTGCATCCTGAGCAACGAAATCCACGAACAGCGGATGTTTCCACACGATGCCTGCGCATAGCGCAGACTGTGCCCATACGCGGTTAAATGCGAGCGCCAATGCTGCTGTTCTTTATCAGATTTATTATCTATGGTTGAACGTATCATTTGTATCAGTTTACTACAGTGAAATTAAGCACTGACATGCATTTTATACGTACCATTCTGCGTTTCCAACACGGGTGAAGGTTGCTGGTTCGGCGGACTCTATTTACTGTGCCACATCATCAGAGCTGGCAATGTCCTTTGTCTTCACTCTTACATTGGCGACCGGCTCGAACATGTACAGATATACAGCGAACTTGTTACGAATCCCAGAGTACAACAACTACCCAATTTCAACGGATAAGCTTGGCATTGCCCGCTGCTGAGTACAGTAAGCTGTTCTCACCTTCCTGTCAATGATGTCATGGAGCTTCAACCAATCATAGCGGCAGCGAGACTCGCAATGGCGGCCACGGCGCCTGTTGCTTGTTTTCGGCAAAATAAAGTTAATTGCGCTGGTTCATGAGAATTTTCGACTTGATTTTCGAGTTTGCCGCACAAAATTACGTATCATGACACCATTACCTCGTTTTTTGTTGTTGTTGTTGTTTTCTTCAAGTGTTTCGGTGTCCCTCTAACCACCATGTACTAAGCGTGCGCAGGGTTCCCCATCAGGGCGATGAGGGGGGGTAGGTTCGTCGCAGCGCTCCACACCCTATAATGTCGATGTATGGGGCTGACTTTGCATCCCCCTCCTTATTATGTCTATGTAAGGGGCTTGCTTTGCGTCCCCTCTGCCCCCCTCCCATCCGTGGACACCCCTATGACCAAGTACCAATTTGCATTTCTTCACGTGCACCATCACCGTTAACGCAGGAATAAATACAGTGCCATAGCAAATATTGCCTTAAGTGCCCACCATAAAGTCATGTTCCTCTTCTTGCTAATGTTCAGAAATGGTTGGCTTTCTCACACAATCCTCCAATGGTACGCAGTGGCGACACCAAAGAGCATTTCGAAACTACTGCAGAGTCCGCGATACGCTGCCAACACAGCGACTGACGCAGCGGCGAAATGGGGACACTCGGCTGTCCGTGATATATGTGTACCGCGATCTACTACTTAGCGAAAACAGACAGTTTCTTTGAGACGTGACATGGTCGCAGGAAGCCGATCATTTACTGCTTAGTTGCTCACAGCACTTAGCCTACTTGGTATACACCCCGTGCCGAGCCGCTTTTGCGCACACTCTGCTTGAAATTTCGCATATATGCGATGAGGAGCCTCTTCCGTTAAGGAGACAATGCGAACTTTCTGCAAGCGATGATCTAGCGGTCCTGGCAGCAGAAGGAGGCACGTTTGGCTGTCCCTTCATGAAAGCGTGTGCTACGCTTGCTCTCTCGATGCCTGTGATCCACAATGCTCAACTCCGCAAGAGCGAGCTGCTTTCGTCTCTGCAAAACGGTGCACGTTGAGCATGGTCCCGAACAATGATTGAGGTGGCAGCGATCGGGGCTTCAGCGCTGGTTATTAAAAGCGTGCACTAGGCCTAAAGCGGCACTGTGCCACACAGGTCACTTTTTGTCGGTGACAAGTCATACTGGCGTACTTTTCGGTACCCACCACATGGCCTTCGTTCTTTGCCAATCGTTACCAGGAAAGGCACCACCGCAATCGTGCAGAAGGCGAAATAAATGATCGGCCGATTCAGTAGTTTTTGCACACAGCGCAAGTGCACAAGATGGTAACCACCACGTGATATCCACTAACAATGCATGGTGTCAACATTACTTCCAGTTCCAAAACCACCTTATGGTGCAACAATTATGCAAATTAGACAAAACAGACCATTTAGGAGCAGTATTTCAAACTAATTTCCAGTTGATGCAGGATGGCGGGTTTATCACCACTGCACTAAAGAAAGCTGTGTATTCGAAGAAAAAAAAAGAAAGTTCTCAAGGTCACGAGGTGCGCATGAAGTATTTTCTTTACCCATGCCACCCACCTCTTTGCTTAGCTTCCAGTGCTTTCGTTGGGACGAGAGAAGAGAGAACGCGATTGCAGCATGCGACAAATTTTTGTAACTCCGCTCATATGGGACGGATTCTTAAAATTTTTGCGGCGTTAATTCGTGAGGCAATAAGCTCTTTAGTGAATCCATTTCATGGGGACTTGAGAAAGTGTTTCAGGGCCCCTTTAAGTATGTCTATGAGCTAGACAAATGTGACTGCTCTCAAGAATTCTTCTGTGAGGCACTACATCCAGTCACCATGAGCGGAAAAACTACCAGAAAACAACTATATCTGTGAAGTGGTGTCCCATTTTTTGCCCTTCTGGAGATCACAACCAATATGTTTCTCAAATTTGGACATCAAATTTGGATCAAATCCTGCCTCAAAAATTACCCATATATAAGAGATATGCAAAAGACCTTTAAAAAAAAAATAGGACACATTTTGTTCAAACTAGTTGCAGACTGGTTTGTGAATTGCCATAAAACATTCAAACTAGTTGCAGACTGGTTTTTGAATTGCCATAAAACATTATTTATCCGAATCAGAATGAAACCAGAGTATGTTGAACCAAAACTCAAGGAGTATTCTCTACAGTTTAGTACCCATCATACATTCATAAACTTTCATTCATTCATTGATCTTACAGCAAACAATTTGGTAATTCCTACTTTGCCTACACAACTGTGTGCAAAATTAAGTTTAAAGTTTACATATCCTGAACTTCAAGAGATACTGAAGAAAATTTTGAAAATATTATGAAAACACTGAAATTCGGCTGGGACGATACAACTCTTCCTAAAGACAGAGCTTATTTCGCATACTTGCAAGCAGATAGCCGTGTATTTAGTGCATTGTGAGCACGTGGCACCTGCACGCCAGTGCGCTTGTAGGTGAATGTGACGTCACATTCACCAGCAAAAGGTGGGCAACCGGTGCGCTTTCTTCCGCCCAACTGCTTCCCTTTCTCGACCTCTTGGGTGCACAGCGTGCACAGCACTTTTGTCCACAGCGTCCACGCAGAAGCAAGTGGCTGGGGCAGCTGCATGCAGCTGCGGTGGCGGCCTGTGATGTCGATTTCTGAGCAATTTCGCAGCGAGCATGGTTCGCGTGTCAGTATCCGGTGGGTGTCACCTAACTTCGTGTATAGCTTACGGCGTGGCCACTAGACGCACGCTAATGTGCGAAAAACCCATTGAATTCATTATTTTCTGCTAGTCTCTGCTTGAAATGAAGGTTGTGTCGACACATTTCATCACACAATCTTTCAACCGGCCATTTATCTCAGCAGCGAAAATTTTGTTCAGTATCCCTGTAAATAAAGATTGATAACTGTACAACGATTTACTTTTTCGTAACCATTAGTATAGCCCTACTTGCTTCGTATCATCAAATTATACACTCTCACTAGCCCAAAATAATGCAGGAAGTGCACACCTTGAAGTCTTTACTGAATTTGCTATGAGTCTTGTCCTTGTATGCCTTGTCAAGGTCGTCCTTGCAGAGAACTAACATCCTCATCTCCTCTTCTCCCCCATTGTGAACCCTGCAACAGGAAACATAGTTTAACATCGGCAACACAAAAATAAGAAAATTCTTAGCACAGTTATGATTACACATCCAAAGTCAGGTTATTTATTACTTGTTCAGAATAGCAAAAAAGAAGGAACATGGAACTAAAGTTCCAAGCAAAACACAGCCATGCCCATTTTATCTGACAAGTGTCTCATTAGTATCTTGGTGAATGTTTAAAAACATGAAGACATGAAAAACATGAACAGAAGAGTTTGTGGCACGAACAGCTACCGACCTTCAACTTCAATCCACAGAAGTTAATAAAATATAATGCTATAAATTGTACAAATCAAAACGAAAATGTGGTAGAACAGAAAAATGCTAGTACCCGCCACTTATAGGGTGCCCTGCGACACTTTTCCAAGTAATCATCGAATCACTTCAATAAGAGTTTAATGCCTCACAAATGGACTGCCGCAAAAAGTTTCAAAATCCACCAAGTATGAGTGGCATTACAGGGATTTGTCGCATACTGTAGGGGCTTCCTCACAGGGGGTGGATGACAAGGAGGCAAGAAACTACGCCATTTTATCAGTGGACACCATGGCTTTGAGCACTTTTTCCTTTATGCGTTCAAACGTGCAGGCACGTGGAAACATCCCGCGACGGCCTCAGTAACAATGCCTCTTGCAATGCTGAAACCAGCAGCCAATAGTCGTGGACTTTGTATTTATGGTGCAACCATTTGGGTTTACGGCATCATTTGTCAAGAGAAGAGCAACCATTTGTTAGCTTTTTTTAGTTGACTGAGAATTCATTGCCATTACAAGCTCTGTGCACTGCTTCAATATTTGACTCCCGTGTTCCCAGCAGCCTTGGCTATCCATAGGCAGCCTTTTCCGAGCATGCTGAAGTGTTGCAGGCACCTTTTAATTGGCGTTGCTTTTTAATGAAACAGCCAGAATTTTTTTTTTTTTTCATAACAGGCATCTATGCTTCTGCATGCGTCATTCAGTTCTGATATCTGAATGATGCATATGGAAGCCGCTCTGCTGCCCATATTCAAAGGAGCAGCTAATACATCAGTTTGCCTACACGATGAAACCTTGGTCATAGTAAAAAAAAAATAAAAGCCAAGAAAAAGCAAGCTATTTAAAAGTTACTAAAATGTTTCAAATTTTAACCCAAAAAGTGAAACATTATGAAAACTTAGAAAGTACATTACAAGTTTAATTAGGGCAAAGCGAGGTGTATAGTGCCTGAAGGCACATAAACAAAGTTCCCTCAACGATCACAAGCAGTAGTGGTCATAGCATGATGAGGAGCACCGGAAACACACATGCTTGCACCAAACATTCCATACTGCTCTTTAATACTAATGTGATGGGGTTTAAAAGCTTGTTACAGAAAAATTACAGCATCAGCATCATGGTCGTTTATCATGAGCAAAAAATCTGTGCTATTCATAAGCGAGACCTCCATATAGATGCAAATAAAGAAGTAAAAATCCTTAGTTTGAGTAGGAATTAAACTCAGGACTTTAGCATAGCAAGCAGGTGATCCACCCCAGAGCCATGCCCATGGTCAAAAGTGTTTCAGAAAAAAACATTATGTCACTGAATGAGATGAGTGCCCGTAACGCATGTAATTTTGCATGATAGAACCGTAGAATCTCACCATGTGTCAAACCACATGAATTGCACAAATGGTTGTTTAAAGGCTTACAAATTATAATGCGTACAGGCAAAATTATCAGCAACAGCATCAACATGTGCGCCAGCCTATGTGCACGTTCTGCCTTACAGACACGTAGCAGGTGCTTCGCAAATTTGCAGAAGAATCGTGGAAACTGGACACTTTGCTGCCGTACTGAAAGTATATGCATAATATGCATACCTGCCAAGTAGAAGAAACCTGAATCCTGCCTGAAGGTCTTCGCAAAGGGGGGGGGGGGGGGGTCATGCTGAATAAATTTCTCTATTTTTTTTTTGTGCCGAAAAAAAAAAAAAAAAAACATCGCGAGAACAAGAGGAGAGGGTAGTCCCTATTGCAAGCGCAAACATTAGCATTGTGGTCCTATAATGGCTTGGAGTGCTCGAATCGACGAGGGTGGGGTTTCCCACTAAGGTGAGAGTCTCAAAGAGGGAGCACAAATGCTCCCGAAATTTAGAGTCATCGAATGAACTAGCAAAATTTATTTCCGTAACAGAAAAGCTCGCATATGCCTTCCTGGGACACAGGTGAACAGGCGGGATGCCACAGCTGGCTGCCATGAAAGCGCAGGTCTAAGCTTTGCTCCCTACTAGGTTCTATCGGCAGGAACGCAAAAACATGTCTAGCCTTTTTTACATCTTTCTTGCCTTTATCGACTACTGCGTTAGCCGCATGCCGTCAGAGCTCATAGATCGCTATCTCGTCGCCGGGACCGTGGTTTTGTGTTTTGTGCGCGATGGTTGCACTTATGCCTTCAAAGCTACGTTGTTCTGTACTATCTATGATCATATGTGCTGCTGTTTTGTCCACAGAAATGGGGGAAGGCAGCATTGCTGTGACTGGTCGAGTGTTGGAGCGCACACTTTCGGAGTTCTGTCAGTTACGTCATCGCCATACATGATCATGCCAAGAATGACTGCAGTTTTGTTCACAGCGGTTGTGGCAACGACAACCACACCCACTATAAAATAAAGTGTGTGCGCTGGTCGCACACGTACTTCCAAAGCTTGGAGCACGCTGCTCTTGGCCTTCGTTCGAGGGTTTTGGAACTGAAGTTCATATCACCCGCCGTGATTAGGAAAAGTGTTTAGAACATTTGAATTTTGAACCAACAGACACAGTGAAATTTGGCTGGGGAATTTCATAAATTCGTATCTGCCGCATTTCACAACACTGAGATTCTACTATATGTTTCGATGAACACCTCTTAAATTCATTTATATTAAAATGCAGTGAGTTCGCAAAAAGCCTGGAGCAGATTGACCTGCATTTTTGTCAATGGGACCATATCATGCACAGAAATTTAGATTTCTGGGAAATTTTCATGACGACCGTACAAACGAAAACGTCGAAATCTGGGAGTCTCCCTGACAATCCTGGAGACTTGGCAGGTATGTATGTGCAATCGGTAATAGTTCGAAAAATTCAATTTACATGCAGACAGACATGCCTTTTCTTGCAGCCCAGCGCGACAGTGTTCTAGTTTTGAAGGCAAAGCTCAAGCGTCTTCAAATTTTTAAAATAATGCCACGGCCCTTATCTCAACAGATCACGCGATATCAGACACTGACCAATTAGTGAAGCTACCAGTTTTCTCGGCAGTTGGTCTGCAAACTGCCGGAGCTTGTTTCCTGCATCCATATAAAGACTACAAGCATTGAGATTGGGAGGATTGGGAGGCTGTTGGCCTTGCATCCACAGAGGTGACTGCCAGTGTGGGCTGACCTAAGGTTGTGAACCGAGAGAGCCGCATAAGCCTACAGTCAATGCATCAGTCTATGCTCATTCATGACATTTATGCAGCCGCCACGAGTACAATCAAGACAAAAACTTGTGCTTCTGTCATAAACACAAACAGACAAATGCTAGTGCTATATGAATTGAGTGGGCTGTGATTGTGCCAGCACCCTTCCTGGCAGTACTACTGGTAGCTGCATATAGGTAGTTTCTTCAGGCGATGCAGCAACATGGGCTGCTCTCACTTCTGAAGTGATGCCCATCAAGAGTTGTGCCACTCACTAAAACAGACAGCAGACAATTGAAGGCACATTTTTGTTAGTCATCGCTGATAAAATGTGTGCAGTTCTCTTTCAGCACTAGTAAGTTCCACATGCTGTCAAAATGATATTTGAAGATGTCTATTGTGATAGCCAAGCGTGTGCAATAATGCTCTTATGCAAACCCCCGCAAAGAGAATTACAGATAGAGAAAAAGGAAACTGTGTTCATTGGCATTCAGGGCATGGACTACACAGGTAACGAGTGCAGTGTTGTGTGCATAAGTTATGTATGGGAGGATGGCATCCTATGTCTTGCATTTGATGCCGACGGACGTAGTATATTGCCAACATATTTGCAATGCTTTTATTCAGGTAATGCTTTTATTTATATAAATATATGGCACTGCTTTTATTTATATTTTGCTATAAATATATATGGCAATGCTTTTATTTTATACAAGAGCATTCATATATGGATGGTAGATGCTAGCTCTAATATAAGGCATTCTCACCGTTGATAAGAGGCCTTGGGTTACCATGTTGTAGCAAGATGGTATCCATGAAGAATTTCACTACCTTGTCCCACTATCTTTTGTTTCAGCATAGTGGGTACGGTAGTCATTAGCCATGACTTATTAAGCCACAATATAGTTTCAGCAAGTTACAGAAATATTGCATGCGAACACTGGAAGGCGGTACAGTAGCGTTCATCCTTTCTTGCTTATTGTGCTTTTGCCACTTGCCGTTCAATCGACAGTGGGTCCCCCGAACTACAGACATCCCGTAAATAATGCGTTGGCGGCTGACAGACAACAATGAGGCATGATAACCCCCCCCCCCCCCTCCCAAGTTAATTTTGAAAAAGCTGTTGTGGTGTCCGAGTGCCTTCGCCAGTAAAAGGTTGGCGACCAAGAAGGAGGAGCGGTATCATAACAAGGTACCATATTTCTGTACCGTATTTTCGTAACTTGCCAAAATTTTTTATTGCTGAATGCCAACAACAGAACACACCCAAGCAGAATGATTCCAACTGACAGGGATTGTGGGCAAGGCGGTTGGTAGTCTGATCAGGTGCAAGAACATTCCCGTCACCCGGCCATGGGACGAGGATGTGCAAGATGGTTCGCGCTGAGTGTAATAGCGAAGTGCGACACTTCAGAGACTGCTCGGAGGTGGCCCGCCTGTGTCCTAGAATGGGCTGCTTAAATAAACATGGATCTGTTGCAACAGTGAACTGTCCACATGAAAAGACTCGCTGAGCTACTGTGGAACAATGTGCATGGAAGTCTCCAGGCTGCCAAGAAGTTCAGGCCTGCTGA